TTTTTGAAACGAAAATTTATCCAAATTAAATTATCTATTTTTATCTAAATTAAAAAAATAATGTTTACAGCAATACTCAAGTTAAAATTTTACTATTGTTTTTTCTTACTAATAATTATTTACTTTGAAAAAAAATTTGGTAGCAAAAATTCAGTTAAAATTTAACTAACAAAAATTAATTTTATTTTGCAAATATTTAATTACTTTGTAAAAAATAAATTTTGAGACAAAAAAATTAAGTTAAAATTTTACTAAAATTTAGTACTTTTTGATAATAATTAATTACATCGTAAAAAAAAATTTTGAAACGAAAATTAAGCCAAGATTTTACTAAAAGTTAGTTCTATTTTGTTAATAATTAACTATTTCGTAAAAAAAAAAATCATTTTTCAATCAAAAATTCAACGAAAATTTATTAAAAATTTGTTCTCTCTTGTTAATAATTATTTCCTTCTTTAGAAAAAAAATTTTTAAAGCTAAAGTTCAGCAAAAATTTTACTAAAATTTAGTTCTATTTTACTAATAATTAATTACATCGTAAAAATAAATTATCAAAACGAAAATGTGGAAAAATTCTGCAAAAATTTTACTAAAAATTTGTTTTTTCTTGGTAATAATTATTAACTTTCTAAAAAAATAATTTTTAAAGTAAAGATTCTGCTAAAATTTTAAAAAAAGTTCATTTTTGTACTAACATTTATCTACTGTAAAAAAATCATTTCGAAATAAAAATTTAGTCAAAATTTTACTAAAAATTTGCTTTTTCTTGTTTATAATTATTATTAATTTTCCAAAAAATAAGTGTTGAAGCAAAAATTTCGCTGAAATTTAACTAAAAGTTAATTTTCTCACTAATATTTCATTATTCTGTAAAAAAATAATTTTTGCAGCAGAACTTTAGCCATATTTCACTAAAAAAATTTTTTTTCTTGCTAATAATGAATTATTTTGTAAAAATATATTTTTAAAACGAAAATTTAGCCTAAAATTTTACTAAAAGTTAGTTATGTTTCGCTAATAATTAACTACTTTGTAAAAAAATAATTGTCGAAGCTAAAATTTTACTAAAAGTTAATTTTTTTTTTACTAATATCCAATTATTTTGTAAAATATAATTTTAAATCGAAAATTTAGCCAAAATTTTGCTTAAAGTTACTGGACTTTTTTTACTAACACCAAAACATTTGAATAAAAAATATTCTCAAAATATTCTTCAAAATAAAATAAAAATAATTATTTTTTTACTACTGAAAGCAAAATTACGTTTTTAGTAAAGAAAAAATGAATTATTTTCAACTAATTAAAACTTTTCAACCTTTTTCTTCTAACTATAATTTAAATTTTAGAGAGAAATTTCCATGAAAGCATAAAATTTGCATAGAAAATTTACAGTATGGCACAAAAATTCATCTTTTAAATTAAGAAAAAATGTTATTAAAAATGTTGATAAAATTTTTTAATTAAAAAAAGAACAACAATTAAAAATATACATAATATTTGTTTGAAAATATTATGTAAAATTTTTTTTCCAAAATAAAAAACAAATATTTAAAAAAAAGTCACAACAAACTGTTGCTTATATTGAATCTTAGGATTAGTTGAGCTTGAAAGTAAAATATGCGAACCAAAACTTTATATAATGTTAAAAGCGAGAAAATCATGTTTTTAGTCATTATCTATTATAAATGACGTTAAAATATAATCCTTAATGGATTTATTGACTAATTAAAGTTCCTGCGGAAACTTACGTGTGTATGTGTGTGTGTGTGTGTGTGTGTGTGTGTGTGTGCATCAAACATCAATATAATATGAATAATGCAAACATGCATGCCGGAAATTAGGGGGAGAGCTTTTATCGAAATAAATATTATAATAAATATCGAAAGTCAACAATTTCTTCTTATACATAATAAATGGTTTCTTTGTTCATAAATACTTATTAAGAATATAATATTGATTTATATCTTTTTATAAGGTGTCGAAACAAAAAAAAAGGGGGGGGGGGAAATCGAAAACATTTTTTAAAATTTTATTTCAAAATTCAAACAATTTTTTTTTTGGAATAAAAAAAAGAATGTATAAAATTTTTCTGCAAGAACATCACGTTTTTCTTATAAATTTCAATAATTTTTTGATCCAAAGGGGAAAAAACACGAAAAAAAAGGAATTCTCGATAAAAAGCAATTTCCCACTTTCTTATAATATGTAAAAAAGAAAATAATTATTTGCCATTATACCTTATTATGACCCTCCTACTTTTGAACAAACTTTTTTTTATTGATTTTCTTTTCGCTCTTTTCACTATTTACTTTACATTCAATGTATATCCTCACCCCTTCATTTTTATAATCGTTTTATTATTTTTTTTTTAATCAAATTCTTTTACTACTTTCGATAATTTTCCGAAAATTTTATTCTTTCTTAATAATGTTTTTTATAAATTATTTTTTTCTTACTATTGTTATAATTATATTATTATTATTATTATTATTATTTTATTTATTTATTTTATTTTATTTTAGTTATTTTATTTTATTTTATTTTATTTTATTTTATTTTATTTATTTTATTTTATTTTATTTATTTTATTTTATATTTTATTTATTTATTTTATTTTATTTTATTTATTTATTTTATTTTATTTTATTTTATTTATTTTATTTTATTTTATTTTATTTTATTTTATTTTATTTTATTTTATTTTATTTATTTATTTTATTTTATTTTATTTTATTTTATTTTATTTATTTTATTTTATTTTATTTTATTTATTTTATTTTATTTTATTTTATTTTATTTTATTTTATTTTATTTTATTTTATTTTATTTTATTTTATTTTATTTTATTTTATTTATTTTATTTTATTTTATTTTATTTTATTTATTTTATTTTATTTTATTTTATTTTATTTTATTTTATTTTATTTTATTTTATTTTATTTTATTTTATTTTATTTATTTTATTTTATTTTATTTATTTTATTTTATTTTATTTATTTATTTATTATTTATTATTTATTATTTATTATTTATTATTTATTTTATTATCATATTATTACTTTTTTTTATTAGTCGAACACTTTTTCGTCGTTTAATTTATTGTTAAAAAATAATAATAAAAATATTAACAATAAGTAAATAATGAAAATAGTAAAAAATAATAAATAATAAAGCAATGAATTAAACGAAATAAACAAATAATAAAAAAGTATAATTTATATTTTATTTATATTTTTATTATTAATTTACAATTGTCTTATTTATAAAAATAAATAAAAAATAATAAATTGTTTTTGTTATTTTTCCACGATAAAGAAAACTGGATTTTTTTGTTATTAATTTTTTTTTCTATATTCTTACGATTGTAAATAAATAATATATATTTTTGTCTTGGATTCAATTTTTGAAAAATGTTAGTTTCCTTTGCGTTTCTTAGTTTTGATCTTCACTTTTTGACGAAACCAATTTACTTTATTTCTAGTTGTCAAGCATTACCTCTTGGATAAAATTGCAAAAAAGTTTGCAATTTGTACTTTTTTATAACTGGCAAGTCGATAGTTTGCGAAACAAAAAGAGAAATAAGACACACGAAAGAAGCAAATGTTTATAAAGAGAAAATAAAAAAAAATGTAATGTTGAGAAAAATTTGTTAATTTAATGAGTAGTTTATTTTGAAAAAAAAAACTGTATAATTGGCTAATATTTATTATTTTTTTCTTTCAATTATTTTATTTACGTTTTTTATTCAAATTATTATATTTACTTTTTTTATTCAAATTATTTATTTTATTCATTAAATTTATTTTAATTAGGTATTTTGTTAGATTTTTTTTAAAAATTATTTCGTAAATTTATTTTGGTATTATTCAAATTATTTTGTAAATTTATTTTTATTCTTTGGAAAAATTTACTTTTTCAAAAAATAAATTAGAAAAATTTTAATTTATTCAAATTTGACAAATTTTATTTTGTTCAAATTAATGTTACAAGTATTCAATTTTTCTTTTTACTCTTTTCGAAAATTAGTTTCATTCAAAATTATTTTTGTAAATTTAGGTTTATTCAAATTTTATGAATTCAGGTTCACTCAAATTTTACAAATTGCCTTTCATTCAAATTATTTTATAAGTTCTTTTTTTACTTTTTTATAAACTTAATTTTTATTCAAATTATTTCTTCGTAAAATTCAGTGTTTTTTTATTTAAATTTCATTAAGTAGATCACTGATAAAAAATATAATTATGCAAAAAAGGGTGAAAAAGTAGAAAAAAAATCAAATAATTTTTTTTTTCTAAAAGATTTTTTTCCAAAAGGAAAAAAAATATTTTTTATAAAAACATTACCTTCAAGAATGAAAAAAAAAATCGAAAAATAAATTTTCTTCTTAAAAAGGTTTTTTTCCGAAACTGAAAAATATTTTTTATTTATTAGTTTCTTTTAAGTTTAAATTATTATAAAATTTAGTTTCATACAAATTGTTTTTATTTTTACTAAAATTCCGCTATTAATTTATTTTCAGTCAAAATTATTTCGTAAAATTTACTGAAATTCAATTTTTAAAAATTCAGCTTTGTTTATGCTTTACATTATTTTTTAAATTCTCTTTTTATTCAAATTTCATAAATTTATTTTTTATTCAAATTTCATAAATTTATGTTTCATTCAAATTTTTTCTAAATTTAGTTTCCACATTATTTACAAATTCAGTTTTATTAAAAATTGTTCTACAAACATCCTTTTCTGTATTAAATATAATTTTAATATTTATTTTCTCTAATATAATTACGTATACATCCGCAAACTAGGGAAAAAGTGCTTTTACCTTTTTTCACGCAACAGCAGATGACTGATAAAAATTATACCTAATTATATACAAGAAAATAACAAAAAGAAAATAAATAATTTTTTTTCCTAAAAGCTTTTTTTGTAAAAATTCTTACAGAAGGAAAAAAAAATGGCAATTTTTTTCTTAAAAAATATTTTATCTAAAAAAAAATTACCTCTAATGTTGATTCCTTTAGATCACATTCACATTGATGAAAATTGATGAAAATCGTTTTGCACAAGATGAGAGTAAAAAGTTAGATATATAAATAAATATTTTATTAAAGAATAAATTTTCTATCACACACTTTAGTCAATTAGAAATAATTTATTTTCCCTTTTTTTCTTTTTAGAAATTTCCTTTTTCTTTTTTAAAATTAAAAAAAAGTCACACACGAATTCACTCGACACTTATCGTAAAAATAAATAAATGAAATTGTAACACATCCTCGCGCAACGAAGGCTCGCGCAACACTGACTCTTTCTACTGTCGCCTATATGCTGGTTCACAACTATAAGCCGAGAAAAGAATCGCATGCGGTTTAATACATATAGAACCATACAAAACAACATTCCTAATATGAGAATCATTTTTTATCCATTTTCTTTTCCTTTCTTTTATTTTTTTTTTTTACTTCCCTTTTTCACGCATGTGTCAAATTTCTCACGACTTGCGCCCACAGTAAGATTCTTTCGTAGAATTATATTTTTTTTTTTTATATCTTTTCAACCCTCGGACATATAAATATATGGAATTTTTCTTTTTTAGGATTTTTTTTTCGCTCATTCTTTCGAATTTAGTTCAATGTTCTTTTGCACTTAAAGCTAGCGAAAAAAAATGTTTCTTCCGCATATTTTTTTTTTTGTTGCTTTTTTTCAGAAAAAAAAGTTTTGTGCTATAAAAATTTCCCCGCAAAAAAAAGGAGAAGATGGTATTTGATTTTAAAAAAAGACCAACTGAAGAGTAAACGTTTTTATTTATTTTCGAGTTTCTTTAAATTGAAAGGCTCTCAGGTTGCGAGCACACGGAAAGATCCTAACTTTCCCGGGGACATAAATTGTTAAAGTTTTTAAACTGTAGATTAATTTTGTTTACTGAAGTTATTATTTATTTTATTTTTTTTTTTGCTTTTTCTTCCTTCGAATATTTGAATTAAATAAACGAAAATAGTATATTTTTAATAATAATAATATTTATTTAGAAAAATATTTGAGAAAAATGAGAAAAATATATAAACAATATGAATAAATAAAAATAAAAAAACAATAAAAATTTGTGAAAAAAATTTGAAATAAAAATATCCTTGCTGAGAAAAAATTAAAAAGTAAAAAAATTGAAAAAATATCTCAAGTAAAAATGTGCAAACAAATAATGAGTAAAAATAGGGAAAAAAATATGATATCTAGAAAAAATATAGAAAAGAAAATATAAAATAAAAATATACAAGAAAATATCAAGAAGAAATATGTAAAAAAATATAATGTAAAAATATGGAAAAAAATATAAGGGAAAAATATGAAAAAAAATAAAATCAAATCAAAAAAAGAAAATTGTAAACGTCATTGAAAAAATTTGAAAACAAAAATTTTTATCCCTTTTTTTCTTATCGGAAACCTTCGTGAGGAAATATTATTATCTCTCTTTAATAAAGAAATAACTAAATTTTTTCTTTTCTTCTTCTTTTTTTTTTTACTGCAAAAAATTCCATACGCGAACATTGTCTATTACAATGTCTATATATGAAAATTTCATATATAAAAATTTGAAATTCAAAACTGATCGTCGTCCGTTTCTGAAAAATGTAACGAAAAAAAAGAGGATAAAAAGGGGTAAAAAAAATCAAGAGACCATATATTTGAATCATAAAAAAAACAAATCATAAAAAAAGAAAAAAAAAAGAAGCACGGATGATAAAAATAAATATTTCTCGCACCGCAAGTTACACATCAAAAAATTTTTTTTCTCTCTCGTTTTACTATTTAGTAATAAAAAAAATTTGTTTTTATCACCCCAAAAAACAAGAAAAATGATTTTATTTTTTAAGGAAGAGAAAAAAAATGTCTCTCTTTTTTTATGCCCATAAAACGAGGAGAATGTAAAATTTATTATTCAAAATTTATGTTTGTTTTTTTTAAGGGTGAAAAAATTATGTTTGTTTATCTTTATTAATTTACTATTTGTGTTTTAGATTTTATTATTCAACAAGTTTTAAATGTATTTTTGATTCTATTTGTATTTTTAATTTGGAAATTGGAAAAAATTTATTTTTTTGATTCTAAAATTTTTCTTTTTTGATTCTAAAATTTATTTTTAAATTCTATTTGTATTTTTAGTGAAAAAATTCATTTTTATTCTAGAATTTGTCTTTTTGTTTCTAGAATTCATTTTTTAATAAAAAATTAATTTTTTTTATTCTAAAATTTGTCTTTTTGATTTTAGAATTTATTTTTTAATTCTATTTTGTAGTTTTGATATTTGGAAATTTATTTTTTTTATTCTAAAATTTTTCTTTTTTGATTCTAAAATTTATTTTTAAATTATATTTTTATTTTTAGTAAGAAAATTCATTTTTTTGATTCTAAAATTTGTCTTTTTGTTTTTACAATTTATTTTTGATTAGAAAATTAATTTTTTTATTCCAAAATTTGTCTTTTTGATTTTGAAAATTTATTTTTTAACTCTATTTGTAGTTTTGATTTGGAAATTTATTTTTTTCGCTCTAAAATTTTTCTTTTTTGATTCTAAAATTTAATTTTGAATTATATTTGTATTTTTAGTAGAAAAAATAATTTTTTTGAATCTGAAATTTGTCTTTTTGTTTCTAGAATTTATTTTTGATTAGAAAATTCATTTTTTTATTCTAAAATTTCTCTTTTTGATTTTGGAATTTATTATTTAATTCTATTTGTAGTTTTGATTTGAAAATTAATTTTTTTGATTCTAAAATTTTCCTTCTTTGATTCTAAAATTTATTTTTGAATTCTATTTTTATTTTTAGTAAGAAAATTCATTTTTTTGATTCTAAAATTTGTCTTTCTGATTTTAAAAATTTATTTTTTAACTCTATTTGTAGTTTTGATTTGGAAATTTATTTTTTTCGCTCAAAAATTTTTCTTTTTTGATTCTAAAATTTATTCTTGAATTATATTTGTATTTTTAGGAGAAAAAATAATTTTTTTGAATCTGAAATTTGTCTTTTTGTTTCTAGAATTTATTTTTGATTAGAAAATTAATTTTTATTATTCTAAAATTTCTCTTTTTGATTTTTTGGATTTTTATTTTTTAACTCTATTTGTAGTTTTGATTTGGAAATTTATTTTTTTCGCTCAAAAATTTTTCTTTTTTGATTCTAAAATTTATTCTTGAATTATATTTGTATTTTTAGTAAGAAAATTCATTTTTTTTTATTCAAACAATTTGTCTTTTTGATTTTGAGAATTTATTTTTTAATTATATTTGTAGTTTTCATTTGGAAATTTATTTTTTTCGCTCTAAAATTTTTCTTTTTTGATTCTAAAATTTATTCTTGAATTATATTTGTATTTTTAGTAAGAAAATTCATTTTTTTTTTATTCAAACAATTTGTCTTTTTGATTTTGAGAATTTATTTTTTAATTATATTTGTAGTTTTCATTTGGAAATTTATTTTTTTCGCTCTAAAATTTTTCTTTTTTGATTCTAAAATTTATTTTTGAATTATATTTGTATTTTTAGTAGAAGAAATAATTTTTTTGAATCTGAAATTTGTCTTTCTGATTTTGAAAATTTATTTTTGAATTATATTTTTATTTTTAGTAAGAAAATTCATTATTTTGATTCTAACATTTGTCTCTTTGTTTCTAGAATTTAGTTTTGATTAGAAAATTATTTTTTTTAATTCTAAAATTTGTCTTTCTGATTTTAGAATTTATATTTTAATTCTATTTGTAGTTTTGATTAGAAAAATAACTTTTTTGATTCTAAAATTTATTTTTTGATTCCATTTGTAGTTTTAATTATAAAGTACCTACTTAAATAAATATTTTTTATTTAAAAACTTAAGTATAAATAAATTTAAGTATATAAATTCAAGAAATAAATTTAAGTATAAAATTTATTTTTTATTTAAAAAAATTGTATTTCAAATTTAAATTCTATTTGAGTAAAAGTTAATTTATTAATTAGTTTGTTTATTTAATAAAATTAACATTTTTTCCAGAAGAAAAAGAAAATTTTCCAAAATTCTTTACTATTCCGGATAAAGGAAGGAAATATAAAAGAAAAAAATTTTTTTTCTAAAATAAAATGGAGAGCAGTGTTTATATTATACATTCGTCTTGCGCAATAATTCCCTCGAAAATAAGCAATTATGCACGCACGAAAATTTAACGAGTTAAATAACGTTTCGCTGCAAATTGCCAAAGATTTATGAATTTTCAGTGTATCTTACTTGACAATTATTACATTGTAATAATATTATTACTACTTATTAGTCGTCACTTCCTGTCTCGCTTTTGCAATAATAGACAAAATAAAGTCAGTGGATCTAAATTTATTGGAATATTTTTACGGCCACAAAATTCTCTCTCTAAATCTCTCTTTCTCTCAGTTAATGTATATAACCACTGTTTGCATTGAACAATGCCAGTAGTATGTATTTTCCAAGCGCAAAAGTTATAATTATTTCTTAAGTTCTTCCAGGTGACTTTAGATTTAATTTCACTGTCATTCGAAACGTTCCGAAATATTCTCGCGAGTTACGCAAAAGTTCCAACTGAAAACTAGAACCGTTAACTGTTTAACTCCTTGAAACAATTCCTTCTCCGTTGTCTTGACGGGAAACAACCTTTTACGTAATTTTCGTTATATGCCGCATGCCAAGACAATAAATTGTCAACAACAATTAAATATTCGAGTTGAAATTCAATTAATTTTTGGATAGTTTAAATTTAATTCATAATTTATCGCTTCTATTTTAATTATAGTCTTTGCGGTTTCCAATTATAATTTTTCTCTCTTTATTTTCTTTTTCTTCTTCATTAACCTTTTTCGTTTTCTTTCTATTTCTATTTATTTATTTATAATAATTTTTCGTCCCATAAAGTTTTTTCTCTCTTTTTTTCTATTTTAATTTCTAAACGTGAATTCTGAATAAATTAATTCAACTGAGTGATTAATTCAATTTTGTCTTCAATTTAATAAGTTTAATTATTATTCAAACTAGAATTAATTCAAATAATAATTTATTCAAACTATTATTTTTTTAAACTAAAATTTATTCAAATTTAAATTTCTATTTTTTCAAACTATTATTTTTTCCAAATAGAATTTCTTTAAACCAGACTTTAGTCAAGTTCTTATTATTACAAACTAAAATTTATTCAAACAATTATTTTTTAAAACTAAAGTTTATTCAAACTATTATTTTTTTCAAACTAAAATTTATTTAAACTATTATTTTTTCAAACTAAAATTTATTTAAACTATTATTTATTTAAACTAA